CCCTTGTGGGACGTGGAAGACCCCGCGCAGTCCGCCCCGCGCGCTTCCAGCCCCTCACGCACCCCACCCCCGACCGCCGTGCCTGGGCCGCCCCGCCCACGGCCGCCTCCGGACATCGCCAGCCGAGAGCGGCTGAGCCTGCAGCCTGGCGTCTCCAGGACGCACGCCGCGCCCTCCGCCCTGCAAAGCCGAGGCCGGGTTCCTCCTCCTCTCATTTCCTGCAGGGAGACCCCGCAGTCCGCAGAACAGACCACTCCCCACACAAGGCTAGCGTTACACGTGCTTCCAGCGCGTTAATTAGAAAGTTACTGCTTTACTATCGAACATAAAGCCTCCTTGTTTAGGCAATGCCGTTTTGTGGGTGTGTTTGCCCTTGTTAGGGCCTCACTGCGCGCGGAAGCAGCTTGTCTCAGGGAACCCGGCACGCGGTGCGTACCCAGCGAAAGTTAACTAGCGAATGATGAAGGGTGGCCGCCCGCAGGGCGCCTGGCGGCCGTGAGGTCCACCGCCTCTGTCTTGGCGGGTGGGACTCCACGGGGAGAAGCTGCGTCGGTGCCTCCCCCCCCCCGCCGGGCACCGGCACCACCGTCGTCGTCAGAAGAACAACCCAGCCCCCGCTCGGGGGCCCATCGTCAGCCCCGCGGTGCCCACGGAAGGCGTGCGGGTCTCAGGGACAAAGCCGCGGTTCCGATCCCGCCCATGGGAACGCCTCGCCGGAGCTGGCCGCCCGAGGACGGACGGGAGCGGGGCGTGACCGCTGCGATGACCCCTGCCCGCCCGCCCCGGACACCCCGGAGCAAGGGGGTGGGGTGTGGGCTGCACGCTCAGAGGGCCGGGGCGGGGGCTCCCTCCTATTTTCTAGTCGCTCGCCATTGAGGGCCACACAGGCCCGGCCCAACCCTCTGCCTTTCCTTCCTTTTTTCCTCGGCGGCTGTTTGAATTACAGTCGGACATAATCGAATGGTAAATAACCAAGAAGCAAAACTGCTCCGAGGCAGCTCCCGAGGAGCCAGGAGGCCACGGGGGGAGGCCTTTCGTTACCGCGTTCTGAGAACCGTTGGTCGCGAGAGACGGAGGCAGCCGGCGGGAGGCCCAGTCCCGTTCCGCCGAAGGGTCGTTAGCGAGCTCGGCCGCACGACTTCGGCTCTCGCAGACCCTAGCGTGGGGACCGCACATCTCCGTGTACAGGACAGAGTCTGAGGAGGCGGATGTGGTCCTTGGCCTATTCCACACAGGGTCGCACCTAAAGGAAGTTAGCCATTCCCCTCACACGTGGACCAATGTGTTCTTGGCCAGAGAGACACGTCTTCATTTGTGCTCAGACGATAGGACTCTCCACTTGAAGTTGAGAATGTCTGTCGGCGAGCGCGGTGACTAACAGTCTGCCGGCGCCAGTCTTTGTCCTGTTGGGTTTTTCGTGACTAATCTCGATGAAGACTAGATGACTTAAATAAGAGCGCAGATTTCATTCGGTAGGTGGATTTGACTCGCATTTTAATGGCCTGGTGAACTCTGAGATGTTGAGGGTCTGATAGGAAGTCATAGGCTGTGACCAGAGAGGACCCCAGGCCCCCTCTCGCCTGAAGCCACTGCCTTGTGAGCCGTCGCGGGAGGCAGAGCGCCGCGCCCCAGCCCACACAGTCAGTGCGCGGGGCCAGCCGCGTGGGGCCCGGCCTGCCCACCCTGCCTCGGCCTCTCTGCTGCTCTGCACTGTCCCGCACGGGGGCCTCCTTGGTTGGAGAAACGCAGTGGATTCAAGTCGTCGTAGGTCATCTGGTGTGAGTTTGGTCGATGAGCTAAAACTCAGGCAAGGAGAGAAGAAATAAACTGTGGGAGAACCGAGCTGAATTATGGTACTTACGGGTGGCTCTAATTTTTCATTGTTTTACCTTAATACAGCTGAGCAAGGGACCCAAATCCAGAATACCACACACTTAGAAGCAATATAAACTGTTCAGCCTTCTAATCGCCAAGAGCCAAGCTCTTGCCAGACGGAGACAGGCCGGCCAGACCTTTAACGGAATGATAGATGCAACCCAGCCCTCGGAGGAACCGGACGTGCAACATTTACCACAAGCAGCATCATCCCCGCCGGAAGCGGACGGGGGTTTCTCCCGCCTGTAGCGGCCTGTCTACCCCGGACTGGCGTTGCCATGGCAACAGCCTCGCAGGCTGCATGAAGATCCTTACCCGGAGCAGAGATAATTGCTACTTTTAGTTATTTATCACTCAGTAGGTGGCGGGCAATCTCATATATATCATCTCATTTAATCCGGAAAACAATCTCATGAGGTCGACAAGCGTATCACGTTCATTTTAAAAATTAAGAAGCCAAGGCCCAGACCTTTACGGGAAATGTTTAAGGTTATAGTCTGCGCTTGTAGAACTCGGCTTAGAGTCCTGGCCGTCTGACTCCAGAACCCTTACACGTAATTGCTGTTATTGTCAGACCATTATTGCGTTTAATTGCAGGCAGGGCCCCAGCAAATGCCGATGGGCTGCCTTCTGGTGGTGAGGCGGTGTCACTGCAGCCGCCGTCCCCTCCGCCCGGAGTCTCGCCGCACACACACAGCCTTGCAACTGCGCCCGCCAGTTTCCCGAGGGTGGTGGGAGGGAGGCGGCTTGCGTTTTCCGCGTGAGTCGGGTGTCTGCAAAGCCAGTGCTTGGTGTTCAGTCATGTGCGAGCGAGGGCGAGGGGACCGAGATCCCAGCCTGAGGACAAGCCGGGATAAACGCGGCGCCAGCCCAGCTCGGTGCGCGCTCGCTGCCCGCGTCGCGCGCGAACGCCCATCCCTCAAGCGCCCGGCCACTCCGCGCGAGCGCGCACGCCCCCTCCCACGGCACGAGGCTTGCGGGGGCCTGTGCGCAGCCATCGGTCTGACCTCGCGGGCCGCCCTGGAGCTGCGGGGGGTTGCCCTGGAGCCGCGCAGGGGGCGGTTCTGCGCCCCCACGAGGCCCACGTTGGGGCTGTCGCGGGGGACCCGCGGGGCGGGAACGGGGGCGGGGGTAGGGGGGTGGGGGTGGGGGGAGGGTGGCGCTTTTGGAGCAGGGCTCGCCCGCACCCCATGGGCGGTGACTGGCTCGCCTGCCCTGTGCTAACTAACTGGGCCTCCTTCGGATGTTTGTTCTCTTCCCACCGGGGGTCAAGGTGGGCATGGCCGGTGCGCCGGCTACGGGTCTCGGCCTGAGCCCTGAGCCATGGCCGGGTGTGGAAATCCTGGGTACGTCGCATTTCAGAGCTGTGTGTCCTCGTACTTTGAATACATTTTGATTCGGCACTTTCTACCCATTGGCTTTGAGCCACCCATCCATGGGGCTCAGACGGCGTACCCGGTGGGCGCGGCGCGTGGTGTGGGGGGCGGGCGGGAGGGAGACCCCACGTGCGAGGTGGCAACAGCGGGGACGGGCTACAGCCGTCCCGGACCCAGGCCCGTCCCAGGAAGGGGAGGGTCAGGCCTCGGGAATGGAGCCTTTTTCCAGTGGGAGGGACAGGGGGTAACTCGGCCACAGCGACGCAGGAGAGGGGGCGGCTGAGCATGAAACAGGCGGGCGGACAGATGGATGGACGGACGGCCCGGGAGCCGGTGCTGCGCCCGGAGAGGCTCCAGCCACTCAGAGAGCCCAGCGGAGGCCCCGGGCAGGGAGGGCAGCGCACAGGGAGGACGGGCAAGGCCTGGGCTCCGGGAGGAGGTGGCCGCGGGCTCGCCGGGCGCTGCAGGCCGGGACCTTTCCTGGGGACGCTGAGAGTCTTTCAAGCAGCAGAGGCAGAAGCTACGGGAGAAGCCGCTGCGCCAATATGCCCAGGAGTTAAGCAGGCGGTGAGAGGCATAATGACATCTTTAATCGTGCGGGAGAGGCCGTCCAGAGTTACGAACAACTTGAAAGGCAGGCCACAGAGCGTTTCCGGCTGAAGGGGTCCCCGCGCAGCCCTTGGGGTGTGTAGTATCCCCGGGCGTGCTCAGAGCCCGGAGGAGCCCATGTGAGAGCTGCTCGAAGTTCCGGAGTGTTCCCAGCTGCCTTCCGGCTGAAGAAGGGGCACCGGAGCGATCTGCCCAGATCTGCTTCTGTTGACCGGCGGCCCGTGCCGAGCTCGGTCAGTCACCGGGTGGGCATAGACGCCGGGCCGCGCGCTGGGCCGCCAGCGCAGAACCGTCGAAGCCCAAAGCGGGAGCAGGCCGAATGGGTGCACCTCTGACAGGGGAGTCGCCGAGGCAGCTCCTGGGCCCCCGAGGGGCACGCGAGGAAGGGGCGCGCCGCTTGGTGTAAAATTCCGCATGGTAACACGTGTGTCGAAACCCTTCGGTGACTCTGAGGAAACGGTAATAGCTTCTAAAAGGAAGACCAGGAAAGGCTTTATCAAGAGGCAGCATCGACACGTGGCCCTCGGTTAGACGGGGGGGACCGAGCGCGAGACATGGGGAAGGGGTTTGTGGGGCGACAGCTGCACTCAGCAAGCGTCCTGGGTGAGCAGCGAGGACGGGCACCGCTGTCGGCCTCTCCTGCGCTCGGGGCGGCCCCGCCGGCGGGCCCCGGGCTTCGGTGCGCCACGTCGTACCCCGTTGTACCAACGCGGCGCCTTTGAAGACTCCCGCGCTGAACGTTAACCTTCAGTGGGCGGCCCCACGTGCATTTCTTTTCATCTGCTCGCCAGTCTGGAGAGTCAAAGTGTCTAAGGAAAAAAGAAGCTCAGCGTGGGTGGCACGTTGGGACTCGCTGTTGACGAACCCCGCCCCGATGAGCCGGTTCGGGCTCCCGGGGAGGCCCTGGAAGTCGGGGTGGGCCTGCGTCTCCGCTCCACAGCTGTGATCTTTGCGGGTGACGAAGCGGAGCGCCCGGGAGCTGCTGCCCTGCGAGCCGGCTGGCCGGGCGGGGCGGCGGGAGGGGGCCCTGGGGCGGCCCACGCCCAGTCTCCCAGCACAAAACCTCCGGAGGGAGCGCTTGTCCTGCAGAGCCAGCAGGCGGGGCTCTCACCGCCAGCTCCGGCCAAGGGTCTGGGCCCCATGCCCCTCGGCCACCGCGCCCCACGCAGGGGTCCCCCTGGTGCCCCGCCCGCCTCTGCCATCGTGCACGGCTCTCACCCTGTGAGCTCCGCCGCCGGGTTGTCTCTGCCCAGCAGCTGCCACGGCAGGACCTGGCTGTCGGGCCACGTGGAGGAGACCTGCAGCCGCGGCCAAGGGCGCCGCCTCGAGCCGCAGCCGTGCCCGGGGGTGGCCCCGACGGCCTGCGCCCACGCCTGTGCCCGTGAAAGGCCCACGTGCCCCGCGGGAGGCTCTTCGGCCGAGTTCAGGCGCGGGACTCAGCCCTGCCCCTCAGGGGGCAGCCGACCGGTGGGCCTTGCTGTCCAGAGCCGCTCCCCCGGGACCTGCGTGTCTAAGGACCGCCCGACTCTGGAGTGTGCGCCCCGCCGGGGCCGCCGGGAACCGTCCTCTGCCGCGGGCGAGCCCACCTGCTGTGTGACCGGCGGCTGGTGACGGCCCGGAGGCAGGAGCCCGCGGCCCGTGGGCCGAGTCCCGAGATAGCCAGGGATTTGTGTTTCTTGAAAGACAAATGATTGTGCACATGTTTTTAAGGGAACGAAGTGTTTTGTCCCTCTGGAGCCTTTGTGGCGCTGAGCTGGGGTGGGACAGCCTGTCAGCGGGGCCCTGTTTGTTGTTACCGGTCAGCGAGGTCACCGGGGCACTGGTTACAGGCCCGTAAAAGTTCCAGCAGGCGCCAACACAAGCGCCTGACAGGCAACGTGGCGCTGCAGCCACTTCCTGGTTCGCGTCTATGGGACACTTAGCACTGACTCTGGTGCGATGTAACGATGCGCGTGGAGATGCAGCGTCACGAGCCAGACGCGCACACACACGATGCTGGATTCAGGAGACCCGAAGCCCCGCCCCGAGCACTCGGGGGGGGCGGGGCTGGGCCGCGCGCACCACCAGCCAGACGCGCCGCCGCGCGGGAAGGGCAGGAGGACTTGGCGCCCCGCCGCCGCGCGCCCCCCGGCACCGGGGCGCCGGGACCTGGGAGTGGGCCGATGCCGCTGGGGCAACGCTCCTTCCTTTTCACTGCTTCCCGAGGGGGTTTGGCAGCGAATGAATTGAGTTCGCGTGATATTACAAACCTAATTGTCATGTTACTGTTTCTGGCCAATGCTTTTGTGGGTTTTACATCATGGGGCTTTTTTTTTTCCACCCGATGACAATCGTGTAACTACCTGGGGGGAGGAGAGAGGACGTGTCCCCTTCCCTTCCCGTTGTGTGTGCGCACGAGCCCGGGCCAAGGGGCCCGGGGCGGAGCCGGCTTCCTGCGGGGTGGCCCTGGGGCCCCCCTGGCAGGCGGTGCACCGGCCTGGCCGCAGACGGACCGCCAGGCGACCGGAAACGAGGCTGCGCTCTGGCCTCTGAGCCCCCCCGGGGGGACACACAGCAGCATTCTGTCCTCAAACACGGCCCATCAGGTGACAGGCCCTGCAGCCGCCCCGGGAGCGGGGGCATCTCCTGGCCGGACCACTGTGGCCAGGACGCAGCGGCCGTTCTTCGGACGCTCCCTCGTTTTCATCACGGCTACATCGTGGAAGCATAACTGTGTCTCAGTGTGTGAGAGGCCTCGCCGAGCTCCCGCCATGCGCTGAGCACACGCTGCCGCGGGGCCGCTGCTGGGACGCCGCCCGCAGCTGTTCCCCCAGGGCCCGGCCGGTGCCCCAGAGCCGCCGGGCACGTTGATGGCAGAGGCCGAGATGCACTGGCACAGCCGTCTGTAGCGACCCCAAATGTGCATTTAAAGGCCACCCAGAGCACATTAAGAGCCTTTATTGGGCCATTTATCCTGAGCTGACACACCAACTACAGTAAACACTGCTCTGCCTCAGGATTTCAGCTCCCTGGCGGCGACGCTGGGCCAGGGTCTCCCTAAGTGCCTGGTCTGCGGGGTGGCGAAGGGGGCCACCGGTCCCTTGTTTCGGTCGCTGGGCGCTTGTCGGTGGCTGCGAGCAGCCACGCTCTCCAACCTTTCCGTAGCGGGGTTGTGTTCGGCGCCGGCTTGGGGACGGCGAGTCAGGACGGGGTCTGCCCTGCCTGGCCGCCCTCGGGGATGAAACCTTCTAGAAGCCGCAGCACCGAGGGGGAGGCAGCGCCCCAGGCGGGCGCTCAGCCTGGGTCTGCCCTCGGGCCATCTCGTCTCTCCACAGCTACTCGGCGACGAACTGCGCTGTCCCTCCCTCGCGGGCTGTTTCTGGCATCACCTCTAACAGCTCCTTCTGGCCCATGGGCCTCGCCAGTGCCCGCCCCCCAGCGCTCGGCCGTTAGCGGTCGCAGCAGCACGAGCTCCAGGAGGACCGCGGGGTCCCAGGGAGCCACCCACCACTGCCCGCACGCCTGTCCCCGTGCCTGTCCCTGTGCCCGGGCCGTGCCGTCTACACCTGCCTTTCCCTGCACCCAGCGGCGGCGCTTAGGGCCCGGCCCCGAGGACAGGGGTGGCCCCCGTGGCTGCCCGTCCCTGGATGTCCCCGGGGCTTACCCGGGGGGTCCCCGTCGCTGCAGACCCCAGGGCCCAGGCCTCCTCCCCGACGCGCTACAGGGCCGCAGCTCCCGCCTCTGGGTCGCGTCTCACACCTGGAGGTGCTGTGAGGACTCGCCCCACATTCTCGATCCCCAAATAAAGCGCCCGGACATCCCCGCCTCGCCCGGCGGGGCCCACGAGTGGCTGTAGCCGGCAGGGCGACCGGGCTGCGCCGCCCGGGCTGAAGCCCGCCCCCTGCCCGAGCTGCGCCTGGGTCTCTCCCTGCCACTTTTGGATGCCCTTCAAGCCTTGGAGGGGCGTCGCCAACAGGGCGTCAAGTTCTCTTCTTCTTCTCATAACCTGGACGAGCCCCTGCTAGCGACTGCCGTACAAGCGCTTACACCTGTCGCAATTATTTTACCATCACGTGGTTTTGTACTTACACTGAAATTTCTGTGTTGTCGAGGGGCTGTTGACATGGACGGAGTGATCCGCGACGTTGCGGAGCCGGAACTTCGACTAGAAATCTGGGGAGAGGGGCCACAGGGTCCGGCGGAGGCCTGAGGGGACCAGGCAGCGGCCACCGTGTCCCTGCGCTGGCGGAGACCCGAGGCGGTGGCTCACACACGGCGGTTTAGCAGAAGCCGAGGGCTGGCATCACGCCGTCGCCTGCGCCGCGGTCCCCACCGGCAGCAGCAGGGGGTCGAGGACACCCCCACGTGCGTGCGTGGTCTCACGGTAGGGAAGCCTGAGGCCGAGGCCGGCGGGTCGGGGACACGGTGACAGACAGGGGCACGCCCGCCCTTTGCCCCAGACAGAAACGCTTTCTATTTCCCAAGGCTGCTTCCTTGACACACGTGCTTGAAAAGATCATTCAGAACAGAAATCGGGGCAGAGGTCGGGCCGTAATTGCGAAGGCGGAGGACCCCACGCGGAGCGGCTCACCGAGCCGTGCCCATCAATGAGAAGGAGATCGGTAAGAGCGCTGAGGGGTCGAGGACGCTCCGTGTTCCGGGGAACACGGCGAGGAAAGGCAGGGCGGTGTGGAGACAAAGCAGGCGCTCTGTGCGGCGCAAGCGGCATCACAGGCGAGAGCAATGCTGAGCTACCAGCCGGGCGAGGTCGCCAGCAGCCAGCGAGGACAGGTGGGGGCAGGAACCGAGCTGCGAAGGGAGGGAGCTCCTCACTGATCTCTAGATAAGAGCCCGAAGTGTCGGTGAGGAAAGAAGTCAGGTTTCCAAAACTGGATGGAGAAAACATGGGAGGAACCCGCCCTTCGGACAGGAGGTGAAGCAAAGGTTTCTTAGATACAACACTAGAAGCGCATCTGTAAATTAAAATTTAATAAATTGTACTTCACCAAAATGAAAAATGTCTGCTCTTCAAAAACTCACTGTTACAGGAATAAAAAAAAAAAAAAAACAAAACCATCCACAGACCAGCAGAAAACATTTGTAAATCCTATATGTAATAAAGAAGTTATATTTAAAATATTTAAAAAGCTCTCCAAACTCAACAATAAGAAAACAAGCGACTCAATTAAAAAGTGAACAAAACCTTCAGCAGCGTCTTCACTACAAATGACACACGGGCGGAAAACAAGCGCGGACACGCTGGGCACCCTCCGTCCCAGCAAACTGAAGCCGCAGTGAAACGCCGCCACGCGCTTCCTGCGAAACGACCGCAGCGTTTGGGAGTCTGGCCTCACCGAGTGCTAGAAAACACAGGAAGGAGTTGGAGCTCTTACATCGTGAGGCAGTCCGCCTGGAAAACAATTTGAAATATTAAACACTGACCTATCACATGATCAAATCGTTCCGCTCAAGAGAAATGAACGCATGTGTCTTTTCAAAAACTTGCCCGTAGATGTTCACGGTACTTGTGCGTTTTCCGTTTCCAAGGACTGCACGCAGTCTATGAATGAATAAACAAATGATGTTTTCCACACAGTAGAACACCACGCAGCAATACAGCAAGTGAACTATTGATATATGCTAAACCTGGATGAATCTAAAAATGTACATGGTGAGTGAAAGAGGGAAGAAAAAAGAGTATACACTGTATAATTTCATTTAATTTAATAAAATGGGAGGACAGGCAAAAGGTCAAAAGTGGTAGCAAGATCAGAGGCCATGGGGGAGGGGTGGGTGCGAGGGGGTGGGAAGGGGCTTGGGGACACTTGGGAGGGGTGATATGTATGATATTATCTTGATTTGGGACATATATACAAATGTCAAAACATCAAATTTTACTCTTTCAATATGTTCAGTTTACTGTATGTCAATTACACCTCAATAAAGCTGATACAATATATAGGCAACGAGGAGTTTGCGAAAGACCTTGTGAAGGCAGAAGGGACGCAGTTCAAGGATTCAGGTGTGAAGAGTGGAAGGGACACCTCCGCCCACACTGTGTTCACACAGGCAGAAAGGGCGTGTTGATTAACGCAGAACCACTGCCTGACGCCGTCTGGGGAGAGTCCTGTGTACGAACGCAGTGGCCGTGAGTGGGGCAAATGTTCCAAGAATCATGTATAAACCAGATGCATAAACATACATGGGAGTCTTAGACTAACATCTCAGCCGGGAGTCGATTACGGCCCGAGAGCCTTGTCGGTGATCTCAGCTCTCCGTCTGCGTTGCTAATCAGGGGATTATTTAGCTCCTCCAACTGATCGTAACGGAATGACTGTACGGACGCCATCCACAGGAGGTGCTGAATTCAGGACCCGCCACCGCGCTGACGGCTGCGAAGGGCCGACGCCGGGCGGCCGGCCGTCTCCTGCAGGCCCGGCCGAGGAGACACTGACCCGCGGTCTCAGGAGGGGCGGGAGGAACTCTGGACGCGGGGTGTCCTCGTGTCCTTTCGTATTCCGGGAAAAAGTTGGCATTCGGGTGCCAAAATGGATAGGTGGCAAGAAAAAGTACATAAAAGAGATTATTGGCTTGACTGAGTAAAGGTCAGCTTTTATTTGAAAAGGAAACCT